CAGTGCTCTTTCTTTTGTTCTCAGTGAAACCGGTGGTCAAAAGGACCTATCTCTGAAATAGTCTTGTACGGCTGTGCCTTTTTGGGTTGCTGTTTCAACTTTTTTTTCAGATATCATGGGCAGTGAAGATTCAGCCACATATGGAGTTTCCTCAATGCTGAATGGAATGGGTGGGGGTGACCTATCCTTTCCCATGGCTGTTGTCCCTCTTGATGGTTTAAATCACCTGGAGTGGTCAAGAGGGATCAAATTATACATAACTGCAAGGGGGAAGATAGGCTATATTAATGGGAGGATAAAAGAACCATCCTCCAGGAGTGCTGAATATGATAGTGAAATCAAGAGAACAGTATTGTTATTTCCTGGCTCTTGGTTTCCATGCAACCTCAAATCAGGAAGAATTTCATGTGGGCTGAAATAGCGAATGAAATCTGGGAACAAGCAAAGTCTACATATTCAGAATTGCGACACTATGCCAAAATTTATCAACTGCAGGCAGAATCTTCTACTTGTAGACAGGGGGAGAGGTGTTTATCGGTCTATTACTCTAACTTAACATCTGTCTGGAAGGAGTTGGATCACTACCARAGTGTGGATTGGAAGTGTGATGAGGATGCTAAGAAGTACAAACAGCTTGTCTCCCAGCAAAGGGTGTTTGCATTCTTAMAKGGTYTGAATCCTATGTATGAATCTATCAGGGTTCAGATTCTCAGCTCTAAGGATCTCCCTTTTGTTCAAGAAGTCTATGCTCTTGTACAATCTGAAGAAAGCAAGAGAAATTTGATGAACAGCCCTGGTGGGGAGGCTGTTGTGTTAGTTGCAAAAGGAGGTGTATCTACTGGTGTGGGATCTTCTTCCCGGAAAGGAGATCTCCAGAAAAAAACAGAAGATAAGGAAAAATTGTGGTGCACTCACTGCCAGAAACCCCGACACACCAAAGATACCTGTTGGGATCTTCATGGGAAACCAAAATGGGCTCAARATCTRACTAAGARGCAARGTTYAGAGGTGAATAAGAAGTACGGACAGCAAAGTACAAAGAAACATCACATGGACAACATGGCTACTCGGGAGAATCAGCCCCCCATTTCTACTGTGACTCAGACACATCTCACTGGACTTGACCCGAGGGAGGACATTATGAATTCCTTCCGTGACCATTTAGAACTCTGTGGTAGAACAATTCGTCAGATGGATACTCCTCCCTCAACCTCATTTACATCTACGTCAGGTAACCCTGCCACTGCTTTCCATGTTGCTTCTCACACTCCTGACTCTCCATGGATCATTGATTCTGGAGCATCAAAACATATGACTGGTACGTCCTCTTACTTTCAAACCTATCACCC